TCTATTTCTGTCTCTTTCTAAGCCTCATCTTTCCTTTATCCTAGTTACTATTCATTCAGTAACAAAAGTATCATAACATTTAGTATCATTCATAAACAGCTAAAAATACATTAATTTACAGAATAATGCACACAAAGAGTGTGCATCTTTGAGTACTGGATTTCAGGGTAGCTTTAGATAATATATCTTTGAGTCATGATTACTTATATTCTAGTGTGCTTAACATAAATTAACTGGTACTTTAAAGTAAAAGTATGAAACCTTCAAACCTTCAATACCAATTTAGTGACTGGTAGAATAAGTGGAGTGACACACCTGACCACAAAGCATTCTCCACAAGTACAATAACATTGAGCAATCTGTATTAGGATATTGATTACATTGATACCTGAATACCTTAAAACAAAAATTAAAAAATCTACTGCTAGTTACTGAAACTTGAGAACGAAATGGAATTTAGAAGTCAAAGAATACTTAAAATTCACCATCAGCACATTCTATATAATGTCATAAATGGTATAATATGATCGGGAAAAATTGTATCCTAACAGTGTCCGGGCCACACAGTCTGCGTACCAAAGTAGAGTGTTGTGTATTCAGTGAATGTCTGATTTGCTCAATGGTTTAGCTCTCTTATTAAAAATAAGGGTGCTAGGCTTCAAAGTATGGCCTTCAGCTTGTGGTCACAAAAGCCTTCAATGGATAACTAGCCAGGATGATGCGACAAAAGCTAAATCCTCCACAGAAGAAACAGAAATGTTGGGAAATAACAAGGAAACCAAACTGCTTCAGTGAAGTGCAGTCCTAGAAATATATCTCGGAATTTTCGGTCTGGACCTTCTAATACCAAGTTCCATTAATAAATTCAAAAGCTGAATAGAGAGCATCAGCTGCATTCACAGCAAGGGAAGAAAAAAATATGTTGCCCTCAAACACACTAAAATGGTAATGATAACATAATATTTCAAAATAGTAAATCATGATTTAGGAATACATGAAAAAGTAAAGGAATTTTAAAACTTTTTTTTCTGTAAACATACATATTTATACATGTATACACTTAGATACAGACAGGTAGAGCATTTTCTTTTGGCTGGTTTTTAATCTATCTGTAAGCCATGATGTCTATGCATCTCTATAGAAATGATCTGCCTCTTTCTAACTCATTCCCTATGTTTGTTACTTGAGTATTGCTCCACTGTTTACTATATGAAACTCGATTAAATACACATTAAGGGCAGGGAAAGTATAAACTTTTCTCTTTGCTCTTCGTTTTGACACGATGATGCAATACTGCTTCTTACTTAAGGGACCACTCCTATATTCCTTCTCCGAAAATTTCTCTCATTTCGGATAGCAGTCTTCTATTGTCATGACAGTTTTGATCAAACAGAAATTACAAGATCAGGTATTCTGTTACTTAAAGGAAGGTAAAAATGTCTTGGAGGGTTGTTATGCCTCTCCCAACCCACTGAATCGCACACTTGGTTGGTCTTGTCAAACGACAAAAGCTGTGGCGCTGGTGTGGCTCTCCCCTGCACCCCTTGGGGCACCAGTAGCACAAAACTTTATGTATTTATGAACACATAGGGTTTGGGGGATGAGTACAAGGCAGAGAAAGCTAATGAGGCCCACAGGCAGCATGGATCAACGAGCATTTCTACACAGGAACCATATATCAGACTCTGCCACTTATGTCACCAAGCAGAGTGGCTTTTTTTCATCTTGACCTTAGTTTGGAAGGAAAGAGAAAGGTAGTAAGAGCCTAGTACATATACATTAAGTGCTCAACGGAATGAGCCTCCACATAGAGGAAAACCAGGCTCTAAACATTCATCGCATGTTTAAATTCTGCTAAGAAATCCCTAGACCACTGCAGAGCTATTGAGGATCAAGACTTTGGCCATAAAAATGCACTTAGCTGCACTTTATTGTTGCACAATGCATAGCACAGGTTAGCTCTAAAAGATAGACTCAAAAATCTTTAGACTTATTAAGTATTAGAAGTCTAAATACTGTGCTGATCCAGATACTCGTTAAAAGTGTTTACTCAGGTTGCAGATGCCTGAAAAGATCACATGCTGTAGAAAAACATCTCTTAAGCATCCAATGTCTACACTGTTTAGAATTTTGTGTAGACCTTTGTTAAACAGTGAAAGCAAAAGCACAACAGCCTTCAAAAACAAATACTAATGAATGTCATACATACACTTGAAGCTTCCCTGTTATGAAAGTGAAAGTCTACCAGATAGCAAGAGGAAAACAGACCCGAATTATAAAAATAAATCGGTTTTCTCTCATAATGTGTCCTTTGAAGCTTTCAAACATACTCCCCTGATATGCAGCTTCAGCATCATTGTTAGGAAAAACGCTCTCTGCCCCATGCCATATTGTATCCAAACTAAACAGTTAAAGGACGCCATTTGCCAGAGTGAATTAACATATTTGGCAAATGAGTAATCCAATGGGGAATCACAGATATGTGTTCTCCCATTAAGTGATCAAATGAAGGGCTAAGGACAGCCCTTGAAATGGAAGCAATTTTTGGATTACGGGTTAACAATCTCAAACAATATTGACTCCAGGGAAAGTGCCTTCCTAATGAAATCAACAGCTCACATAAAGAGAGCTTACAGGGTCAAATCTATAATTATGTTTTTGCTGAGAATGTTGTTTCCCAGATTAAAAGCATCTTTTTTGGAAACCTTAATAAAATTATTTGCATATATATTGTTTTATTTATTTTCACAAACATTTGATTTTTGTAGTGGTGTTAGATGCTCATGTGATCCAGGTTCCTCGAGTCCAAGCCCAGTGAAAGCAATTGCTCTTTTATGAAGGCCATAGTGCCCTTAGACTATAATTTAAATTGCTAAGTAGTTCTCTGTCCATTAAAAAAACAAAACAAAACAAAAAAAACCCCGTAGAATATTTTTAAAGGCCTATATCTTAGTGACATTTGCCTTATCACCCTTTGGTGACATGCTCCATTGTTATCTTTTTTTTATTTCTTAGGTTAGAGGGATAAACATTCAGTAGATAGACATTATAACTATTAGGATCCTGCTCTCTAATGAAGTAATATGCATTTCAACATGATGCCATCCTTACCTTCGACTAAAAGCCAGTATGACTAGTTTTTATTAGCACCATGGTCTTTTTAAAGACCATCATCACCCATCTCTAGGATAGCTCTGGGACAGCTTCAGCAGAGGTAGGGAGACCTTTAAAGGAGGGATATGAAATAGTCCCACAGCTGATACTGTCATTACTGCAAGCACGGTGCGCAATAACACTGCCTCTCAGGCTCTGGGCTGAGTAAGCAGAAGGCAGCTGTGGGTACAGGAGAGGCCATGGTACGTAGCAGTGAGGAGATTGCCCAGGGGCAACAGAGACAAGTAGAGGGCATGAGTGATGGAGCAGGGTTACCTTGCCACATGCTGGTTCTTTAAAACTGGAAACCTGAAACTGTAAGCATTTCCCATTTTTGGTCTCCGTGTATGCAATACCTACTGGCCACAGACTGAAGAACTTACATTAGTTACTGGAAAAAGAAGCCTCTACCACTTTCTATATCCTCCTTACAGGTAGCTGCCTGTCCATACATTTTCATGTTATAATAAATTCTATCAGAAGAGGATAAGATGGAGAGAAGCAAAAGAGAGAGAGACTACAGTAGGAAGACAAACAAAACCAAAGAAACCACTTATACCAGACATGGAAATTTTCCCCCAGCTCATCACTCTTTTGCTTTTTCAGGTATTTGTTTACATACAGCCCTAGCATGAGACACGGTCTTCCCTGCCACTGCCCCAAGTAATGACAACACTAAGCTTGTTAGACCATTACGCTGGAATAAATATCCTTTGCCACAGATCTGTATCATCTACTTTTGGCACCTTTATCCGTAGTACCTAAGTACCACTGGTCTTCCTTGCTTGGCTTCCCATCACTGAAAGTCGATATTCCCCACCCGAGCATGATGACAGATGCGTAAACCACAAGATAATAATAATCTGGAATTACTGTGCTTTCACCAAATGCCCAGAAGCACTGGCATACTCCAGCCTTGGATTAATAAAATGCCTCTTTGTCACACAAACTCAATGCTGTGAGCAATTCTGCTGGGAGGAGGCAAAGGAAAAAGGCAGGAGGAGGCTGAGCTCAAACTCACCTGAGTGCCAGTCCCAGTCTCAGCCCTTCAGGTCCTGATCGGCTGACAGGAGTCACAGCCACCACTGGGCAGCAGTCCCCAAGAGAAGTCATGCAACAAGGCCTTGCTAAAGCCTCCAACACCACCATTTCAGACAACACACATCGTGACAAAAGATCTAAGTGATTTAAGAAAAGGCCACAAACTCAACTGCCTCCTAAGTACTGTTACTTCAATGTTGGTACCAAACAGACGGCTCAGATCTCAACAAGTCTGCCAGCAACTAGATGGGGTGGATTGCCTAACTTCCAAAGAAACCAGCTACGTGCTCGTGCATGTGTGCACACCGCCCCACACACCCACTGAAGAGGACACATAAGACTAAATAAGACATGGAAAAAGGAGGACAAAAGAGTTAATTTCAAATTTTTCTTTCTATGAATTTGAAAAATAATAATAAATTACTGCACTGAAAATAGTTTTATTCACAAACGCTGAGTCAATTTTAACTTTTCTTAACCTCTAAAGAGTAGCTCCAGGAAATTATACTAGACCAGAGATAAACCAAGTATAAACAAACATAGTGAAAACATTCAACAGGAACCAAAATAAGGACCTGATACAATGTCCTCTGTGTGGCCTCATTTTTTTAAAGAAGAAATACATTTTAAAAATTACAACAATTTCAAATAGAGTCTAAATGTGTTTCTGCAATAAACACAATCATATCCAACAGCATAAGAACAGTAAGAAATAAAAAAATGTATTTGAATGGGATTAGAATGATTTCATAATATGAACCATGAGATAATTCAGATAATGTTTTCTGTCAATAATCAGAACTTACCATATTGATTGGATCAACTGGGCCAATGCTGTTAACATAGACATCTGTTTCAATTACCGTAGTTCTCACTAAACAAAATAATAACCATAATAATTACATGTTTAATTACCTGTACATCGTTAGTGTAATTTAACCTATTTACTAAAAACAATAAATCTGATATTCTTTATTAGATTCAAAACAATTAAATCTCTGGTTTGTTCATTCTGTGAAGGATCATATGAGACTTGGCTCCCTTATTCTATATGAATTGTTAGAACTATCAAGATTATTTTTTTCTTCTGAATATAATCCCCAACTGTGCTTTGTGAACAGATATAGATATAAAAGGTATAAAATGTAAAGAAAGGGAAAACAAAACCGAAAACTGTCTTCCCACATAAAAATTTCATTATAAACAGAAAAAATGCTTGGAAAAAATTGCTTTTACAATAAACCATGAGGTCTAGGTGCAGATGTGTTTATCAGCTGTGAGGAATCAATATGTAGTTCTTTCTTTCAATTCCTACTTCAGACGTGTAACAAAAATAAAATAACTTTTCACCAAAGATTTCTTCAATTCATGAAACTATAGGACACCTAAAGATTAATAACGTCTGTTCATCAGCTTGATTAACACACTGCTTCACACATCAAACTGAAAGCTCATCAAGTGAATTCTTTTAAAAGTTAAATATTTCCAAACTTATTTTCTTAAAAAAAACCCACAGTGAAATCACTCACCTGGACAGAAAAAAATATTAACTATTTAAAAATATATTATCTTACATATATACACTTATAGAAGGGCACAAAGTCAATGTGACTTCCCATGAAAATCACGTTTGAAGTACAAGTGGCACTGATAATTCCGTTGTTTCCTCCTTACTGATTTATAGAAGAAAAAAGTACAAATGGAAGAGGTCAGGATTCATTTTAACATTGTCAATTTACCAAACATTTTCTTCTAGCTTGTAATGAAGAGCTAGAATGTGGATACAAGAAGACATACATCCTAGTCCCCAGCGGAATGAAGAGGGTTAGTAATAAAGCCTTACTAGTCTTTCTCCCATGATCTAGCACATTAAAACTAAACATCTCCGTCGATCTGCAGACGGAAAAGAGGGAAGGTACCAGCAAAAAGTTACTTTGATTTCATAGGAGAGGGACCCTAGGTCACCAGATTTGATTTCTTTATACTGCAAACCGTCAGAGATCGCTTGAGTGCTCTATAACAAGCCTAAAATCTTAAGTAACAGGATTTTTCAAATCTCAAAAATCTAAAACTCAAACAGACACACAGAAATAAACAGAGTATCATTAACAACCTTGACAGCTACAATGGCAGGCAAGATACATTTCCTAAATATCCTCAGATACCTTTCTTCTGCCAATCTCACTTGGGAGGAAATTCTCCCTGTTTCCAAATCCGATTACCGGTGTGACCCTGAGCCTGACTGTGAGACACACCAGTGAGGCTGCACAAAGGGTTTTCTGTATGATCACAGAGCACAGAGTCACTTGATCACCATCCTGTCCCCAGCATGCTTCACAGAAAGTTTAAACAGACTCTGGAAATCAAATTATTTCCTGGGGGAAAAAAAAAAAAAGTACTTCCTGAGCTGCAAATGTTTTCAATATCTGCAGGGCTCATAAAGAACACAAGAACTCACATTCGCAGACTGAAAAGTCAGAGTAAAAAAGTATATAATGCATGTGTATGTATACACATATGTATAATGTAACATATTTTATATATGTAACATCTCACAAACAGATATACCCTTTCTTTCTTTAATTTTGCAACCTTATTCATCTGTATAACAGCAACCCCACTGCTAGACTACAGCACAAGGAGGTGGATCAAAGTGTGTCTTGCCTCATTGTTCAAGCAATGCTGAATCCACCTTTTTTTTCCCCCTGTATTAGTAGGAAATGTTTAATTCTCCTTAGGGCTAGGAAATCTTGTTTTGTTCTGAGGTTCGAGTCTTTGACGCCAACTTTCGGCACTGCCTAGCCATATATCAAACCTCTTCTTCAGACATAAGCACCTACACACAGTGATTAAGGTCACCTCTGAAACTTGCCTTCAGTGTTCTCAGCAGTTCATACTGCATACTGCAAATGCAACCTACAGATAATGTCTTCAGCATTAATTTCTAAACTTGCTGTACTGTTTCCAGACCCATCTTGATATGTGGTCACCAGAACTGGAAATGTTTGTAGCAGTGTTAACAGTGCTGCATGGACATTTACAGATTTCTCCTTCTTGTGCTCCTTTTCAAACGGGACTTATCTCAGGACAACACTGCAGGGGGATGTGTACCTAAGATCTCATTCTACACAAAACACCTAAGTTTTCTCTTAAATCACTGCTTTGCTGTGCAGAATCTCTCATCCTGAAATATAACTCACAGGTTTTCCCCCCTCCCTTTTTCTTCCCCCTCTCAATTTTCATACCTCCAGTTTTACTGAAGGAGCTGATTACTCTGCAGATACAACCTCTCCCTGTCCAACAGTCTTTGTGTCATCTGCCAACTTTACTAGAAAAATTAATTGCTGAAATAATTCAAAATATCATTAATCTTGATCAAGATTTTCCTATGAGACCGAACTATAGATAGTCCAACCATTGGTATTTCCTTATTAACAACTAAATTTTGAGATCTGTCAGTGAGCCAGGTTTTAATGGGGGCTGTGTCAATTTTATGAAATTCCAGCTTGCAGCGAGCAGCACTTCATCTGGCACAAGGGCTCTCCTGTAATGTGCCACGGAGTTTAATTTGCCTTTTCCATACTGCTCTGAGTAAGATTATTAGCGCTATTAAGAGCCAGCGAAGAGCCTGAAAATCTGCCTCTGTTGAAATTATTTTAATTGACCTAAATGATCCAGAAAAACAGATCCAATTCAAGAGTGGAAGAGGCTGTTTTGTTGCCTTAGCTCTTCTGTATGGTACAGAGCGAAGTACTTCTGTGAATTAGAAGAAAGAATTCATTCTTCTCATGTTCTTGAACTAGAAGTGATGTGAGTCCATGAAAATGACAAACACAGGAGGAAAATACATTCTTGATATTAATTTGACATTCATATAATTACCATTGTTTATTTACTCTCCAGAACAGCGAAAGATGGTTTGAGAAGATGTTTCTCAGTGAATACTTCTTATTTTACCTAAAAGATTCTATATCAGCCTTGAAAACACTGTGAGTAGGAAGAAGGCTATTTAACATATCCTGCTTGAAGTGCAAAACAGTACTGTAAACTTACAGAAGCCTACAAAGAAGGGGAGAAAGGGCTTGCACACTTTAAATATTTACACTGAAAGACAATATGAGCCAGGCTAGAGTAGAACAAGAAGGTGAGAGGACAGCAGATTGTATAGTCAACAGAGAGAGAGAAGAGCACCAAGGGGCAGCTGTTCCCAAGGGATAGTTCATTAGCCCCTAAAGTAACCTGTTTGCTAAGCTCAATCTAGAGATTCCCACTCACACTTTCTGATTTCCTGCTTTGACATCTTATTCACTAAACTAAAGTTTTCTTCTTTTCTTAAAGTTTTGACTGGTACTGAGCATTGTTTAACACAAACATGTAGCTAAGGACAGGCTTATCCCAAGAAAGAAATGCAGTAAATAAGTGACTCATGCCTGGAACTCCAGAGCAAGAATGAACTTCCCGACAAGCAACAAGACATGGAAAGATGACTCTCAGCAGACACAGACCACTACCCTTCTAGTAAGGGATGATACTGCATAAACCCTAGGAACATTCTGAACCTCAGTTTGCATTCAAAATTTGTATTTTGAAAAATGTTTACTCTAGATTAGAAAAATCATACTGATTAATTGATCATATCTCAATCTTTGACAAGTTATTTTAGTAATTGCTCTCGCTATCAAAAGTGCCACTTTTTCAGCCTGTATTTATCCAGGCCAAATTTTCAGCTTTTGATATTTGAAATATCTCTGCCTGCAACATTGAAGAGCTCTCCTTATCAGTTATTTTCAGTTTATAAACTCCCATCTCCTGACAGAAATTACTATCATTATTGTAGAAGTGCAGAACATTACCCTTTTTATTGCTCCATTTTCATTACTCCAATGCTCAACATCACCAAATAGCGTATTAGTCCATCTATAATTCACCAACCTGTTCCCATAGTTTACCACAATTCCCCATGTTGGAATGAAAGTCTTAGATAGATCATCATTTTTTTATTATTACTTGACATGCTACTTAATTTAAACTAAGACCATTTTTGACAATTTCATCCAGGCTTATTTTCTTTGAGCAAGTTTTCTATAACTCCTCATTAATTGCCTAAGGAAATATCTGTTCTTAGTGATAAAGAAGTTTTTCAGCAAATAAATTAGGTGACTACCACATTCAGGAATAACAGAGACCTTCAATTTGTAATAGTTTTTAATAGAATAATACAATTCTCACAACTAGTTATCTAAGAGTATTACTTATATGGCTATCTATATTGAAAATTCAGCCTCAAGTGCCTACAGCAGGCTTCCAGTTCCATCTCTAAAGAATTTTTTCAAAGTGATTTTGATGAAAGCAGAGCCCTGTTCTCCACTCTTCTTCTTTTACCATTTTATTTAAAAGAAACCCATCTTTAGGAAATATTTCTACCTCACTACTTTTATTACTTCTGTCATTTTCTATGCAGTGCACACACCCAGCACCTTTAACATTCACTGCACATGCTCTTCTATATCTTGCTCTTGTATTTCCATTTCCTTCAATACTTTCAAAATATTCTACATCTCAGAATATATACCTCTCTACCTTTAGCTGGTATTTTCCTGCTTATTCAGGCTTATTATTCTCCTTCCTGTGTCATCCCTGTCCTCTGAAGAGCAGCTGAGGGAGCTGGGACTGTTTAGTCTGGAGAAGAGGAGGCTCAGGGGGGACCTTATCACTCTCTGCAATTACCTGAAAGGAAGTTATAGGGAGATGGGAGTCGGTCTCTTTTACCCACGTTATGAATGACAGGACGAGAGAGAATGGCCTCAAGTTACGCCAGGGGAGATTCAGGTTAGATATCAGGAAAAATTTCTTTACAGAGAGGGTTGTGCAGTATTGGAACAGGCTGCCCAGGGAGGTGGTGAAGTCCCCATCCCTGGAGGTGTTTAAAAACTGTGTAGATTTGGTGTTGAGCAATATGGTTTAGGGACCCTGACAGTGCAGGGTGAATGGTTGGACTCAATGATCTTGAAGATCTCTTCCAACCAGACGATTCTATGATTCTATGATCCTTTCATCAATGCTCCTCTAAGAGCATCTGTTCAACAGAATACATCCCTAATATCCTTATCTTTTCAGAATCAGTGCTTCTATTAGTTTCTTAAAAGTCCATTTTTTGTTCATGTATACTTTATATCCCTGAGTACATAACTTTTCACATTAGTGCATTGAGATGCAATTACTTTGCCATGGCCTGCTTATAGGGCAATTACAACTATCCAAGTTTCTCTAGATATCCAGTTTCTCTATGTCCATGAGCCATCATCCTCATCATTATTAAAAATTCTATCAATGACGACTTTCCTCAAACTGTTGATTGAAAACACTCCATTAGATTTGTAGATATGTGATGACTATTTCCTAGTTTTAATTAAACTTTCAGACTGATCAGTTGTGTTGCACCCACATAGTGGACATGGGACTGCCTGGAAAAAATGTGCTGTACATCAATAGGCTAATATTAATATATCAATGTCCATAAGGTGTGAGAAATGGAAGTGTGCAGGCAGAATTCTTTCCTTTAAAAAGAAAAGTTGAAAAACAACTATTAGTTTGATACAGAACTGAAGCTGAAACAGTGTGGTTATAAAATCAGGTAGCCAAAAGGTAACCTTACAGTAAGAATAATACTGCTTTATTAATATATCAACACTCCAAGGTTGTACCTGTAATTAAAGGGATTTATAAGACAGGTAGGAGGCTTCATCTGATTACTACTATTACTTCATACTGAGCAGAAAGTACTTTAATACTAGTGCCTTTATGCTCCAAACACCTCAAAGTTTATCACATAAATTGAGTTAAAGACTAGTAAGATTAATAAACATAACAAAAAGTAGCAGTTAAGAAATCACTACAACTCGTGTATATTTGAATGACTCAAAAAATGACAGTGTGGTTTTCTCCTATAAAATTTCAGCATTGTCTCTGATGTTTCAGTTTTCATTTGGCGCTCCTTTATCATCTCCCTCAATGAACTGCATGTTTAACAATGAAAACCCTTATCTTACTCTGAGATGCTGAAATTCTCTGTCAACATCAGGAAGAAAACATTCTGCTCTGGTATTTAAACCCAAAACATCCCGGTTCAAAACAAAAAATGGTGCTATTGTAAGTAAGCTTTGTAATAGTAAAAATATTCTGTGGGATATTATTACTTTGAAAGATAATTAGAATTCCAGTTCAATAACCTTGTTGTACAAGTACTGACATATACTCTGAAGATGTGGAATCTGACACTAGATTTTATCCACATAATTGAAGCAGACTAAGATGAATACACTATAGTCTGACTTAATTTTTCTATCTGTTAAATATTTGCTGCAATTCCCAAGCAGCTGGACAGAACACGATGCCTTCATCCAAAGTGGGAAATTTCATTTTACGTTGCCCAAAATTTCTGCCTCATGGCAGAAGTCTGCAACTTTCCCTCCATCCAGAAGAGTGTCAGTCTTAATTTGTTCTCCTGGCAATGACGTGAATATTCCCAAATGTCTCCCATTCTCATCTAGCTGATATTTGTGAACTTTATGTTTTAATATATTGAAGGAAGACAGGTCCCAGGTAGCAGAGATCAGATTAGTAGAAAACTATTGCACCAAAAGAGTGAAGAACAAAAAGAAAGAGAGTATTTATGTCAGAGAAGCTAGAATCAAGCATCCTCTTTCAGCAACTTATATTTGGAATCCAAAAAGTTGTACATTGAGTTACTCACAAAAAGGCAGAATTCTCACCATATCAAGACTCAGTATGTAATCAGAAAAGTGAAGGTAAGGATTACACCAAAATTCTTCTGTGTCCGTCTAAATCTATTTGACGTGTCAGAATAAACTCCTCTTCCTCTATTTTCTCTCCCTTTATTTCTAAGTTTTACAGGGAGAAAAGAGAAACAGAATTATCTTTTCTTTCATCCCCACCTGCCAGCTAATCATTAGAAAGAATCCTAGTGGAGACAGTTTATTCCCTCATAATCCCTTTCCTGTCTGTTTTATCAAGCAGTCGGGGAAAAAATGTAATGCTATACATCTGTCACACATTGAGAATTTAAGGAAAAATATGCTGACAGACCTTTCTTGTCTAAATTTTTGTACTAATGCAATTAAATGAACATGAGGGACTTAAAACAACAAAGACTTACAACAAACATCATGAGATTCACATGTGATTATATTATGACAGTGAGAAAAATCGTCATTCAACATCTTCAGGGTAATAGCCAACAATAAAACAGAAGTAAGAAATTGAAGGAAGAAAACAATTTGTTAGAAGCTTTCAAAAGAAAATAGTTTGAGATTGTATCTCTCTATTGTCCTACATAAATGAAACAAGTCTAGATTGTTGTATTGTTTAACGTATAAGCAGCTTACAGACTTACATGGCATTCTTTTGATAGGGAATGCCAAGTATTTAACAAATACTTATGTCCTCCACCTCTCCCTTCACACTTCAGGAAACAAAGTCAGAGAAGATAAATTATTTTTCTTAGTTTGATCCAGCATGCATGCGGCGTATAAGAGCTGGCAAGGTTTTGTGTATTCCATGTTTTCAACACAAGATTCCTCCAAATATTTACACTTAATAGGTACATGCAAATTGATGCTTTGACTGTTGAAAGACAAAATTGCCTTCCTAGTAGCTGCACAGATGGATCCATAGGAATGCAGTCTTCCTTCCTATATTCCTCTAGAAAAGATATTATCCTAAATTATATCTTTAGATTCTTATGAAATTTTTCAAAATCTGAGCTAAATAAGGGAAGAAGAGAACTGAGCTGAGTTAAGTTTGCTCAAAATACACACTTATGACATATTTTGTACAGTAGGAGTAAAAATATCTAGGAATAATTCTTTAATAAACTACAGACTCAAGATCAAATTTTTAAATAACCATGGCTGGTTTATATCTACAATTTTTTTTTGTCAGAAGATCTTAGTTAAACAAAGCAAACTATAACTGTCTTTTAATGATTTTTTTTTATAGATTGTCTCCTGTCCCCCAAATGAAATGTTTTACATAGGAAAAAGAGACTGTAAATAGAACATAAAAGTTCTACTATTGCATAGAATATTATTCTCACAAGTTCCAGAAAAACATCACATTTTATTGCCGTTATATTTAGCTTGCTACATATACAACTTTTAAAAATCGCATTAAGTGGATTTTTGCCATCTTTGACAAAATGTATGCCACATCTGATTCACATCTTCTATTTACTAAATCATTTATGGACTTACCTCCAATATCTGGCCGAAGCTTATTGTCATATCCTTGAAGTAAGGAATCCAGTATGTGAGTCACATCCCCACCATGAATCTTTGGTGCAAGGACCCACGTTTTATTCACTGTTAGATCTTCATCGTCCTCATCATCTGCTTTATCAGCTCTACAGTGAGTGAATAAAAAAAAAACAACCTAGGATTAGGGAAAAAAACCACCAACAGTGAAACTAAATACACAAGAGGTGAAGAAGAAACTGATAAAATATTGAACACTGTTTAGAGTACTTTATAAAAATCCAAATGCATTCTGGTGCCAACAGAAAGAGGCAGGCCCTTATTTAAAAAAACATCATTTTGTTTTACGGCAGTAGAGAGTGTAAGCTAATAAACATCTCAAGAGAGGCATTAACACATCACCCATACAGAAAAACTCAAGCCATGAGTCAAATCCATAAAAGCAGCGGTAGGCATCCTCCTACCATCAGCCTTTTCCTGTTTTAAAACATAAAATGCAATTCGCAAGCTTTTCCCTACATATATCTCATTTTCAAATCATGGTACTAATACTTCTAAGAGATGCTTAATCACAGTAATAGATACATTTTGGTGTCAAGAACATTAACAGAATCCCTTTCCTAGTAGCCTCCGTTCTAGCTATGGTATAAAAAACCATGACTTGTATACTTACTCAATTCCATCCAAATTTTAAGCAAGCAAACAAACATTACATACATGTGCTATGGCTAAACATTCACAGAAGCTGTAGCCATGTGTCAATTATGTATCTGCAGGTATGTGTGGTATAGTTAAAATGTTGTACCATACCTTTCAGTTCAGAACATTTGTTAGCTACCTATTTTATCAAGGTGAAACAAATGTACAAGTAAAACACTTAAACATTCATTTATTGCCTATTTTTAATTAGATAAGCAGCAACATATAGTTAATCATTAAGTCATCAGGATAAAATCACAATACCTTGGTTGCACCTGCAGATTCACTCAGATACCATCAAAAGGTCAAAGAATGCCTGGAAGTAGTTTTATTTCCATTTGAATCAAATGAATGTGGACTTCAGTATTCCTGCAGTGCTAAAGTTTTCAATCTATATTACTCATCCAGCTTATTTCAGGGAACTGCTATGGGCTTCGAGTCAAGCAAAGTGCATCAGACTGATAGCAGAAACTGACAGTCACACAATGTCTCTTCACAAATGGACACTGGCTAGCAATTATTACAGAACATATGCAATGCATATAAATCAGTTCCAATGGTACACAAGCACAAATATTCCAGTAAAAAAAGGAATTAAGTTATCGTCCTTGTACCAATTTGTATTGTACGACAAATCTAAAAATATTACTGCTATATTATTAGAAAGGGATTTAAGGGCTTCTAAATTACACAGACGTATGCTGCCCTCAAAACTAAGGTTGGTATATTTCAGTAGATTTCCTACAGGAGTGAAGACCACCAGCATTTTCCATGTGGAGACAACACTACACCTTCAGGGAGTAAGAAAACAAAAAGTCAGGAAAGGACAGAGATGGAGTAGGCATGCCCGGAGTTTATTGCACTCCTCTGTGGGAATGCACCAAAACAGTCTATATTTGTAAGACCTTGCATCACCTCTGAGATAGCACCAGCCCATCTCACTGAAAATCAAGACTATCATGGCTGTGGAAACTGCTCAGTGGTTTCGGCATGCCTTCTTAATTTGGAAAGTGCAACAGGGAACTTAACCACAGCTCAATAGGTTCCCAGAGGATGAACAAAAGGCACTGCTCGGATATCAGGACTTTCATACCTAACTTACTGCAAACAAGTCACAAGAGTCTATTATAGCTGAAAGTAATATGCAATCTAAATACAAGGTTCACTGACAGCTTCCCCTGTAACAGTCTGAAAAGTGCTTTCATTCTTCCAAATTGAAATGCACCATAAAATACTTAATCTTTACTGCACTACATAGACATTATAGAAATGTCAGATATTAAATATTTAACATTTCCCATTAGCAGGATCCCACTAATGGGAGCACTAAAAGAAGTAGGAAGCTAAGTTTTGTAAATGTACACTCTTTTTTCTCTCAAAGCTACCTATTGCCATCTCTTTTATGTTTCATTACCACGTGGCTTTTTTTTTATATATATTTTTTGTCTGCTTGCACTTTACGTCACCTAATTACTATATAAATTAGTTTACAGTTGCTAAGAGTGCAGAGGCAATCCCAGCCTTTCCCCGGGGGCATTAAGATGATGAGGAGTAAAACATAATTTATAAGCAGCTCTCTAAGGAAAGAGACATGTCTGTTACAAAACTGACCTTTTCTTTTTCCTCTTTTTGTCCTCCATCCCACAAGGGCAGAAAGTACAGTGAAACTACCAGAACTGTGTACAGGCCTAGGGCACCTGGCTCTCAGGATCAGCCCAATTATTCACAGAGAATTTGAAGTGATGATGACACAATTCTGTCCCATTTTAATGTTCTTTCCACATCATCACCAAGAGCAGCACAGATTCAGTCCAAAATGAGAAGTGCAAGAGGTCATGCCCACGCCCACCTAAATCCCAGAGGAGTTACAACCATGATATCTCCACTCGCAATTGCTTGATTGTCTTGACATTTTGAAGCATTCTTAATTTTATTTATAGATTCATAGGACAACTCAGGTGGGAAGAGGCTGTGGGAGGTCTCCAGTCCAGTCTCCTGCTCAAAGCAGGGCGAGCTTTGAAGTCAGACCAGGCTGCTCAGGGCTTGATCAGGTTGGGTCTTGCAGACCTCCAAGGCCAGAAACTGCATAACACCTCCGTGAGTAACCTGCTCTCCACTTCTGTCTTTTCTGCTATTTAATGTATTTAGATAAAATTGAAATTAACAAGAAAAAAAAAACACAAATACATTTCAGATTTTCACTTTCTGTCTTGCTTGATTGGAGGACCTCTGGTCCTCCTCCAATTTTAAAACTCTCAACTACAAATAGGCATACAGATGGGGACGCTGATAGCTTACAGAAAGCTATTAATAATGCAGTACTAGTGGGAGAAGGAACAATTCCATTCCAACATCCAACAGCTTTTCCAGTCATTACTAAGTAAAACCATTTAAGAAGGGACTTTTATTAGAGACAACATTTCTTTATTTAATGTCTGTTAAGAGTCTTGGCTTAAAACGCACATTTCCTACTATTTACATGGAATTATGCAGTTTTATCTAGAAAATACTATACATCGAAAAAAGCGCCAGCTGCAAGAAAAGAAATACACTAGACTTTGATATCAGAACACTAGGTTAACAAGAGCTTGTGTCTCACTAATCCATTAGATAAAGCAGCAAAGAAACTAACGCAGACCAGAAATGAATGTAACCAAATGCAGAGAAACTGGACTATTGCTGTTCCACACAGTCAAAGGAGCTATTCTCACTCTCTCTACTCCTATCTTACTGGCCTTTTCAGAGATGACTGACTGTGATTAACCCATCTTGCTACCAGAATATCATCTTTTTAACTCTTCCTTAAAATGTGTCCAAGACCACTGAGCATTCAATAAAGATTATAATGTCTCTGCAGTGTTGATGTCACCCAGTTCTGCGCTTTTGATTCCTAAATTTAAGCCACTGACATGCAGTCACAGGGCTAACATAAGACAGGAATGATGCTGGCTGGAGAAAGGAAGTGATCAGAGTATGTAGAAAGTTTTCTAAATGCCCTCCAGTGCAGCAGAGCACACACCTGCCAACTTTGTGATGTTTTGGGGGTAGATGCATAAAGCTTCCCAAGAAGAGCACCTAGATGCACAGAGGCAACAGGGTAGACACTGTGTGCATATTCATTTCTAGGAATCTGAATTACTGATCTTTGTCATACTAAATAGATTTGATCCACTCTGTTTCAAAGGTAGAAATCTCTTCCAAATTCAACTGTCAGCAGAACCAGTTGAGATGGTGTTACCAGGATCTAACTGAGGCTGCTAGACCATGTTCTTTAAAGAAACATTCACTTTGGAAAACAAGATGGTTCGAAACTGTTGACCTTTTACCCAAGTTTCTGTATGTCTCACACTGCAAAGGCCAGCTTTTTCCCCAGGGTTTGGAATGGGGTAGAAGGAAAGACAGAAGACAGCAAACTTCGTTCCAAACCAGAAAATAAAATGTTAAATTCAGGTATGCTGTTCAAATATTTAGCAACAGTTAAATTGAGCTGAGCACCTTTTTACTTCTTTGCAGTTAAAATAAATCTAACAAACCCATGAAGATCAATGCCAATTAACTCCACCCTCACTTTAACAGCAGCACTTTCCCATCTGTCTCATAACTACAGGAAGAAAAGCAAACTTAATTAAAGAGGAATTCTTTTCCTTTCCAGGTTCATCTGAAGGTTATTTCACTATACATGGAACATAATACTTGACCCTTTCTCCATTTACTGTAAAATACTTTATTTCAACAAACTTCACTCAGTAGGTCTTTTTCATAATGTCAGTAGAGACAATGATTTAGAAAAAAAATATGACATAAAACATTCAAACATTTCTGTTCCATGGCACGATGCTATTTTACACCTATTACTGTGGGTGTTAATCCTAATTTTAATGATTTTGTAAATAAGAAAGAGACCTCATTTCTTAACATGCTTGTTGTTATAACACTACAGCTAGTCTCATAAATTCAACAGTAAACTACATGTATACAGTTAACAGTAATTAGGCAAAAAGCGCCCTAATTATGCTCTCTGTCCTTCAACTAATTGGAGACATTACCATGACTAATAAATCCCTGAGCATAAGTGACTAATGACTAAATAAGTCTTTTCAACATCAGGCAACATGCTTATCTTCAGATATTAGTATCATAGGTCTTTGTTCTCCTTTAAATATGAGAAAAAATAATCAGATGAGCTTTAAGTTGCAATTAATATATGTCACGTTATGTAACGAACTGGAAAAAAAAAATTGGATATAGTGAGAGTGCTCCTACTGCTATTTGCATCATATGTACCAAAGTATTACATGTAGAACTACACATATAGCATAAGTGGGAGTATTGAAACACAGATAAGGATCAATTCAGTTATCCATTCCCAGGCTCCTATTCCCACTCAACACACCCGAGGACACCCAGTCTTCCAAGTAGGGTTGATTTATGGGGAACCCATAGAGTTTTGGAGAAGTAGGAGAAACTGGGCAGGCAACCCTAGTTATCTCCACCAGCACTTCATGCCTGTATACACACAACTCAACCAAGCCCTCAGAGGCCGTGAGGTTTAAACAACACTGCAGAGTAGCTCTGTCTGTTTGGAGATACATTTTTCCTGCCATACAAGGAATACCCGGATGATCATTTAATTAATGAATAAATAAATAAGAAGGAAAGTCAGCTTTTCAGATCATTTCTATACTGAAAAAGCTGAAAGGAACATATCATTTTCCTCTTTGTCTTACACATGCCAACGAAAGCATGAAGACTAGTTGTGTTAGTTCATTTAGCCAAGGATCTTCTCCAACAGCAACCAAAAGCAGTTGCTTCAGGAGTTTTACCAGTACAAGAGTAGGTCACAATGATACTGCTTTAAATCATGAAATCTGCCTTAAGACAGGTGCTATTCACTGCCTGTGCTTCCCAGTATATTACACTTATGTCCTTTGTCTAAGCATAATGCAATTTAACCTTTATTTTCCTGTAGTTTAAAAAAAAACAACAACAAAACATCACAACTATTTCTCTCAATCTTCAGACAAAATTGTAATGTTTCTCAAATTGTAAACATGAGAAAATACTTTGTTAGCAACAAAACAACTTCAGAGGTTTGTCAAAATACTGCATTTAACCAGACAGTGCTTCATAAGAAGTCAGTTGAGACAGACAAGGTTTCCAGGGCAGGTTTCCAACCGGTCAGACATCTAACCAGACCCTACCTTATCACCGAATGTGATATGCTTATACGCAATAAAGAAGTACATTTCATGGCCCCGTCAATGAGAGTTCAGAAGTTATCTGACCTAGCCAAATCCCACACGTGAATCAAGACCTAAAGCACTGCTGAAAAACAAAACATGGTCACTGACACCCCCCCCAGCCAGAGTCAGACATTTTTACAGATGCTGGTGATGATTCTAAATCAGAAGCTAAAAAAGCAAGTACTTAGGCACATGTCAGGTGAATGATCAAGGCATAGGACCAAGTATAGATGAAAATCTGAACTCTAGAAGGATGATAAGTTTAAGCAGTGCCTGAGACAGAAGAAACTTCCTTACAGAGAGAGCAAAATGCAACTCCAACATGGTAGGAATGAGTAATTACTCTTAGCAATTTTAAATACATATTTACATATTAACTTGGATCTCCCTAAGATAAAACAAGGGCTTCAGATAGACTTGTAGTATCCTTCAGAAGCTGAAAAAGGATTGGGACTCTTGCACATATACAAATACTACTACTTTTCTGTAGCAGCAATAGCAGCAGAATTACATAGTATTAACTGCTAGAATAGGACACAATTACATTTTTCTTCAAAAGATTTTCTTGAAAGCTTCCTTCCACTGCTAGTTGTCAGTACTGGATGGTTTAAACATCTCTCAAGATTTATCTTCTAAACTTGATGGCTGACTTCATACTCACCAGTTCTACCACCTTTCTGCAGAAATGAACTCTCCTTTGCATTTCATCATCAGCTTCTTTCTTCACTGATAAGCTTTATTCTTCACAGAAAATTTCTGGGAAAATAAGCGTAACTGCAAGCAAAGAAATGCAGCTACTGAAAATACATCTCCAGAAAGCATTACTTGCACTCTCTAATCCTGTAGGATACAGAGTTGCTGATGTTGTATTCCGTCATCTACATCCTTCCTAAACTGGCTAGATGCTTTCTTGACAAAAATCTTTTTTCTCCCCCCACCCATTCCACCTCTGATGCTTTTACCAATCTATTTCCTCCCTCCTTCCACATTGCCAGACTCTGGAACATTTTTTTTTGTATCAAAATGTATTTCTCTCTCCCACTGAAGTATGTTTTACTTATTCCCTACATCTTTTTTTTCCAGTATACCTACTACATACAGTTAGGTTGATTCTTCTTTTGGATGCACATACTGTCTTATGCTCTTCAACCTCCTCTAATCTCATATTTTTCTGGCTATTTATAATTTCCAGTCCAGCTTCCATCTCCTTCCTGAGTTTTTACTGAATGGATAAATCTGGGCCTTAAGTCAGCAATGAAATTATTAGGGAAAAGTGTGAGAAAAAATTTTATAAACTCTTATACAGGAAGAAACATTAGATTTTTAAGGTAAGTTACATAAAATAGTTCACATAATATTAAATAAATAAAGATTTGTTCATTCCCTGTAATGAAAAAGGTTGGCTACATATTTGAGTGTTTAGACTATCAGACCTGTGATATCTTAATACAAATCACAAGCATCAGGTGATTGAGCTCTTTTGAGTCATTACAGATTTGAAGTGCATCTCTGAAAGATATGAAACATTTTCTCCTACATATAATAACTTCAGTACAATTAATTTTAGTCCCAGCAAGATCTTCACTTAAAAGCATTATCACATTTCTTATAAAATGATCAACATCTCTGTGATACTAATATAATAAAAACTAATCCGAATAGAAATTACTGAACAATACAGCCAGACTCAACTCTGAACACTTAATAAAGGCACAACTTGCTTGCAAAGAACATTTATAGAAATTTGAATCTTTAATGTTAAGAACAACAGGTAGTATTAAATATGTGTTCCAGAAGAACAATCTTGTTCTGGGATCCACACAAATTGCTCTCCTCCAAGTCAACTTTCAGATGATGCTACATATTACTTGAAATGACACTCATCAAATTTGTTATTAATTCAAATGTTTTTTAAAGATCTTACAAAAATTATCATCTAGACTCAAAGTATCATAGATATTCTTTATCTATCGGTCAGCTCATATAATACAGAGTTAACCTCCTCTCCTTGAAAGTTCATCCAAATATTCATACGCTCAGACCAGTATAACTGCCACCTCTACTACTATCAAGTTGTGGTCCAGAAATCAATTGAAATTTTTCCTCACATCTATCTATCCAAGTACAGGTAATTCTCTGTGCCAGTTCAGATCTGCTGGGTTCTCAAACATATTCAGCTTGATTAGTATAGTGATGTCATTTTGACCATCTTAGTGAAAATAGCTCTTTACCCCCACATGTGGACACAAAAATATTCTTCTTAGTTTTGTAGACCTGATGGAGACAACTACCTGGTTTTGTACCCCTCTCTTTTATGCTGTACAATAGAGTGCAAGAACCTTGCCCCAGTAAGATGGTAAACCATAATAAAAAAAATGAAACCAAACAAAATCAGGAAGAATTTCTTTACAGAGAGGATTGTGAAGTATTGGAACAGGCTGCCCAGGGAGGTGGTGAAGTCCCCATCCCTGGAGGTGTTTAAAAACCGTGCAGATTTGGTGTTGAGCAACATGGTTTAGGGACCCTGACAGTGCAGGGTGAGTGGTTGGACTCGATGATCTTGAAGGTCTCTTCCAAACAGACGATTCTATAATTCTATGAAAATACCAAATATTCATTTGCCTTAAATGATCTCTCTTGCCTTACAAATCTTTCTACTGCTGAAGCGGATAGGAAGATATCTCGGGAAGTCAACTTCTACTCAAAGGAGGGCTAACACTGAATTCAGATCAGGATGCTTAGAGCTTAGTCTAGTTGGGTCTTTCAAAACTCCAGGGACAGAGATCCCATAGCCTCACTGGACAACTTGTTCCACTGTTTAACTACCCTCACAGTGAATTTTTCACCTTAATACCTAGCTGGGACTTCCCCTGTTGCAATTTATTGCCATTGTTCCTCATCCTCTTACCATGCACCACTGTGAAGATCCTACCTCTATGTTCTCCATCACCTCCCCATAAGTTTTAGGGGCTGCTTTTAGGTCACCCCAAAGTCATCTCTTCTCCAAGTCGAACAGCTCTCTCCTCTCAGGGCAAGTACTCCTACCTGACCAGCTTGGCAGTCCTCTGCTGAGCTCCCTCCAGTTTAAACCCAAAACTGGGTGCAATATCTAGATGTGGTTTAACAAGCACTGAGCAGAAGAGGATGATCACTTCCCTAAACCTCAAGAGCGTGCACCTGGTCACACAGCCCAGGATGCCATGCTGTCTACCAGGAACTCTAGGTCCTTTTTGGCAGAGCTGCTCCCCAGCCACCCAGTCCCCAGTCTGTCCTGCTAAGGGGGACTTCCCGCCCAGATGCAAGACTTAACATTCATCCTTGACGAATTTCATATCGTTCCTGTCAATCCATTCCCCCAGCCTCTCCAGCTCTCTCTGAACAGCAGTCCCACCCCCAAACATATGAACTTGGTAAAAACAATCTTTCAACATGGAAAAAAATTGTCTTCAGCAAAGGCCCTGTTAATATTGATACTCCTGATGCTCTGAGCAGTTCTCGTTCCAGCTCTTGTTCCAGACAAGTGAGGAAATAGGACACACCTCTCACTTCTCTTTCCTTGCATCAATTTTTCCACATTCTGATTACAAACTTGCAGAATGTGTTGTGTGTTTTGTTTTGGCTAACAAAAACCAGATAACTTATTGATCATAACACCCACATTTGCAGTGTAAGTACACTTCTTCCTCTGTTCTGAGAAAATCATTACTACAGTATCTTAAAGAAAGTACTTGAAAGTACCCATTGTCTTCAGTAGGTAAGTCCTTCCTTTTTTCTAGTACAAACATTTCTAATGCTAGCAGAAAAATTAGTAGGGGTCCTTATGCCAACTGCATTTAATTCTTAGAGATCGAGAACATTTTGTCGGTGTAAAATTTTTACACAAATATATATCCATCTTCCTCTACAAAATGTCTTCTAAGGAAATCCTTCCAGCCATTGCATGCAGCAAAAAATAAAATCTATCAGAAAGATACAATAGGCTTTAGGATAATGTTTACTGCCTTGACTGAAATTGAAGTGTAAATCTACTAAAATTCTTAGAGACATTTATTTCAAACCGATTTGAATGAAACCTAAAAATGTAAATTGGTAAGTCTTATCTTCTCAATTGGTAAGTTTTACCTTCTTTGTGGGTTTTGGCCAGACCATGCAATCAGATAATTAAAATGTAAACAACCATATTCCACTATTCATCTAGACCAAACAGTGGGGAATAAATGAAGATTCAGAGAACAGAAGATAAAAGGATAATGAAAGCAAATTATAGAGCCTAAGTAGATATAACTGAAAAGGGACAAATGGTATTAAACAAAGGACAAAATACCCCAAACTGCTAAGGAAGGGCATGATGATGAAAAGGCATCACCTCTCTGAATATCGGAAACATACACTAACCACAGTAGCATCAGATCTCCTGGGAGTTTCAGACTAAGCTCATCACACAAAGACAGGCACACATAAATTCATATGCAACATGTCAGCACCTCATTCAAGAGACTTGCAGATCTCTATTTACACTTGACTGATGAAAGGTTAATTGTCATCAAGTTCAGAATGATGGGTTAAGTGCCTTGATCCAAGAAACACTTTCCGTAGTGCAACTAGACTTAAAACAAACCTAGGTGAATGCTGAGAACCATAACTTCAATAAAAGGCAATTACATTAATTAAATACAACTCACAATTACTATAACATTCATCAAATTGCAAAGTCAACTTTGTTATATTTTAACTTTAAAATGTCACCAGCATCTCAAGAAATATATAACATGAGCTCTCCTTTATGAGGCATTTTCAGTCATTTAAGCTGCTGATATTTCAACATACTCATGCACACATTTGTTCTAACAGAAATCATTGCATGTTTCCTGCAAAATCTTCAGGTAACTAGGAATCTATTAAAGCCCTTCAGAAAAACAAGCTTACCTGAAATACTTCCAAGTTCTGGTACACACGTGAGCAGGTATCAGTCTCCTCCCACAGGAGGTAAAGAAATATGTATAGACTGAAGTAGCAACAGAACCAGAGACTTGCAGTGAACTCTGTGCCATAATTGTGGCATAGAGGGTGAATCTGGCTTAAAATCACAGAAAAAGCTATATAACCACAATAACTAGGCAATGACAACGACAACATGTGTCCAAAAGGAATATGGTCAATGGGTTCTACCAGAATTTTAGTGTAATTGCCATTAGGCAATTCTGGACTAATCCAAAGGTCAATGAAATTACTGAATAATTGTACAAAGAGATGAATATACTCCGTAAGGGCTAATGTACATACCTAAACCATGTAATAAAAACCTTGTTCTCTCTCGCTCTCTCTCTGCAAGCAAAATTATCTCTTCTCTACTGTAATTTATTTTGTATTAAACATAACATATATCTTTTACAACAGGAGTATTCCACCTCTTGTCAGATGGTGACTAAAATTTACGGTTGTCGGAATTGTTCCCTGCCAGACACAACCTGCAGGCCATCAGTTAGATGGCCCTCGTTGACAAAGTAAGAACCTAAGGTACAGGTCTATAGCTCAACTGCAGCAGGTCTGATACAATCCAGTATATATTTGATGGCAGTATGCTGGTGAAGTCAAGTACCTTTCTCCCCCAGGGAACACATTGCAAGTTCTTTATTTTTAAAAATATCTGCATAATTTATTCTGTCATGTAAATATGGCATTGGGCAATTAAGAAAAAAATTTGTCATGGCTTAGTGACAGAGTTAGCCACCTAAATTTATACGTAATACTATAATTTTTTCCTAATATAAATCCCATCCAGAGGAGCTGTATTCTGAAAGATAAATTAGACCATAATATTACATTAATAATAATAAGACTTAATCCCTTGTGGTACACTGCCTTAAATAAGAAGAAAACCATATTAAATATAAGAACTAACAACTGTTTAAGACTTTGAACAATTTAATCCAAAGAGGACACATCTCATATTACCTCAGATCATTCCTATTCACGATGTCTGTCTGTCTTCCTGAAAATAAGAAAAATAACTGCATATAAATTTAGAAACACAGAATTAGCCATTCACACCTTACCAGAGACAAATGCATTGACATGGAAAAGGATTTGAGGATCACGGCAGAAAGGAAAAAAAAAACATGAGATACCCTAGAGCAGTACTGGAGCTAATCCTAACTTAGAGTATCTCAGCAGCATGCAGCAGGAGTAGGGAAGAGATATTCTATGTGTATCTGCCATTAATTAGACTAATATTTATACAACCTACCTATTTTTGAGGTCTCCTCTTGAAAGAAAAAATGGAACAGGTTCACAAAGTGGTTAAACAAACAATTCAATATTTTTGGAAGTAATATAAGTAGCTCAGTTACTTGTCTGAGAGAAAAATGTAAGCTGCTATCAAGTTGCCTCTTAAACTACATATACCAGGCAAATATTTCTAACAGTAGTTAGTATGAATGTAGCACAGGTAAATCTAATTCAATGGAAATTTCCGCTCTGCATAGAGTATCTCCTATTTTTAACAGTTTGTACAAAACTTTCATTTTGGACTGGATCATTCATCCTGCAGAAACTACTAGGTGTATAACTGCAATGCAGCTTCTCATCTCCAAGAAGTGAGGAGGTTTCTCTGTGCAAATAACCTACAACATATTGTGAAAGACTAGGCCGGAAAGAGGAAGACAGCAACATGTTTTCTGATCAAAATGCTGAATCCTTTAAGAATTGTCAGGATTCATTTGATGTGCTCTGAGTTCTCGTCAAGGCAAAACTTGGCAGTGGCACACAGAATCATAGAATGGTTAGGGTTGGAAGGGACCTTAAAGATCATCTAGTTCCAACCCCCCTGCCATGGGCAGGGAAACCCTACACTACACCAGGTTGCCCAAAGCCTCATCCAACCTGGCCTTGAACACTTTCAGGGATGGGGCATCCACAACTTCTCTGGGCAACCTGTTCCAGTACCTCACTACCCTCAATGTAAAGAATTTCTTCCTTATATCTAATCTAAATTTCCCCTCCTTCAGTTTAAATCCATTGCCGCTTGTCCTATCACTACATGCCCTTGTAAAAAGTCCCTCTCGAGCTTTCCTGTAGGCCCCCTTTAGGTACTGGAAAGCTGCTATAAGATCACCCCAGAGCCTTCTCTTCTCCAGGCTGAACAGCCCCAACTCTCTCAGCCTGTCTTCATAGCAGAGGTGCTCCAGCCCTCTGATCATCTTCATGGCCCTCCTCTGGACTCGTTCCAGTAGCTCCATGTCCTTCTTGTGTTGGGGACTCCAGAGCTGAACGCAGTATTCCAGGTGGGGTCTCACGAGAGTTGAGTAGAGGGGCAGAATCACTTCCCTCGGCCTGCTGGCCACGCTCCTTTTGATACAGCCCAGGATATAGGGCAAGGCAGAGATTTGATGACTGGATTTCCTG